TCACGGCTGACGGCGGAGAGCTGACACCGTGAAGAACCAATTGGACCAGAGGTTTCTCAAGCCCTCTTCTCTGTCGACCAATGAGCGGCCGGATCAGAAGGAGGTGTGCCCAATCGGGGGGGAGCTCTCATCCTGCTCAGGGGGAGGGGGTGGGGTCCCTCCGTGATTCCCCTCAGCGCTGAGGCGAGCCCGGCGTGGTACTGCGGCGAGGCCGACATTGCCCGCTTTAAGGTCAAAAAGCAGCAGCAAACCAGCAGCTTTCCTCCACCCAGAGCAACCTGTGCATCTGAAAAGAAATGCGCAGGCAAATCACCTCAGAAGGGACCCAAAAACCCTCTCGCTGAGCTGAAAAAGGCGTAGTTTAAAGTGGACTGACCCACTTACTGTTCAAGGAGGAAGGGGCGCACTGGGAATTTGGTGATAAAACTCGGGCTTTTAGGAAAGCCTGACAGACCTTCTCATTTATTAACAGCAGTTTTACTATTGCATCCTTATTTAGAATCGGACACGCCTCCATGCTCCTGGCCCTCATTCCAGCTTTTTCTTATCCAAACCGTTTTTTTCTTCTTTCAAAAGTGACACTGGAAAAATGGGAAGAAAAAGAAGGAAAATGAAAGAAGTCTTTAACGAGAAAATGGGCATTAAGAGGACTGCAGTGACTGCTAAAAATAGTTTGGAGACTAGATTAGAATAGCTGGGGGGAAATAGCCTGAATAAGATTAACTGGAATTGGCTATTTTCAAATCTTTTTAAGCCTTGCTTTATACCTACTAATAGTAATAATAGCTTAAAAATTAAATCATGTTTTCTGCTTTAGATTAGATTAGGGACCCTTCAAAAGATGCTTCAGAACCGATTAACCGTAATAATGATGATGATGGCACTACCTCGTTTGTGGTCCATGAGGTAACTAATCTGCAGTCAGTCTGTGAAATTAAAACGAGTGATGAAATGCATGGACCTGTGAGAGAAAAGTTTCGTAATAATACCTCGCGGCAATCTGTGCAGTATGCTGAGGCCTGACTGTGATCCCCTGATCCAACACCTGGATTAGGAAATTTAAAGATTTTGGAAAGTTTTTAAAAAATCCTGTATTCAGAGTGGCCACCAGCTGGTTAATGAGTCTGTATAAGGATAAGAAACTTTTGGCTCACATCCATGATCTCTGCAGCCTCTACAAGTAACCAGAATCAAAATCAAAAGCGTTTGCAGAAAGGGAAGAAGAAGGAAAAGGAAAAGGAAAAGAGAAAAAGGAAAAGAAGAAGAAAGCAGTGACACATTGCAAGAAAAGCTTCACAGAGCTAGCAGCAAAACATAAAGAGGAAAGGCCTAAAATGACAAGAGGTCATAAAGCGATCATCTGTGACAAGTCGAGGCTGTGAGATGAAGTAAAGACAGAAAAATAAGGGTCAGTGAGGTTAAGGACTGGTCCACAGTAACACCAGTTGGCTTTCTTTAAGGCTATGCCATTTTTTTCAGCATAAAAATGATCTAAGAAGAGGGACGCCTATGCTCTGCTAAAACTTTGACATCTAGAAGACCCCAATTTATTCTAAATACTGTTCAGGTTGTTGTTAAATCCCCATATCTGAGTAAGACATCTTACACAGTTTCTAGTTCAGGTCAGGAAACAGAGGAGTACACTCATGCTGCTTCTTTACAGTAAGACCTTCATCAGAGGATCTTTCTAGAAACCTCACAGTTGTCCTAATTAAAAAGTTCAATGTGGTTGAGATCAATATTTCATGCCATGATGCAATGTATTCTTTGAGCAGACGCGATTTCATTTATTTAAACGAGAAGGGTGAAATACTGCATAATTTCATAAGAACTGTGGATTTGGAGAGATGAACGTACCTGAAATAGACTCATTGAGACAGGTCAGGAAATCAATTAAATACCAGGGAAGATTCCCAGATTATCCTGACCTCATATGAAGGACAACCCTGAGCGCAGGCTTCCAAAGGCAGCCACTAAAATAGGCCTCTGAGCCTCTGTAAAGAATGGATGGAAAGAAATAACAAGCACTTTGCAGAAGTGATTTTGAGGGGGATCCCGCGATGGAAACTCATGTAGAGAAATGGGAACGTCCCCAGATTCGCAGAAACAAGACCCATCGGACCAGAAACGGCACAAGGGGACCCAGAGAAGGCCATGCCAACTGGAGACAAATCGAAGAATTGTAACTGGCACAGGAAACCACACTCGTGACAGTTAATTACATTACAGTCGTGTTTCTGTACCGCAAGGCTCTTTACACGCAAGAAATGCCCCAGAAGCGGCCGCTTCACCGTGTGCTGGGAGTCTAGACACAGCATGACGCTGAGGGCAGATGACCAGAAACCTCATAAGAACCTCAAAAATACCTGTCGTGAGTTACCAACCCCTTCTGGATAGAGACTTCAGAATATACACAGGTATTAACATATCAGCCATTTCAGGGCCACCTTAAAAGAGAATGAGAGCACCATTTATAAATAGATAAAGAATCCGTATCCTACTGAAATCAAGCAAGATCCTAAGTACCTTCCTGGATCTGGGCCCAACCCTTTCAGGGCCAAATATAAATAAATGCTGAAAGGTCTAGGCCGTTCTCCTAAATGTGAAAATAAGTGTTTCGGCCAGACGAAAGCTGGGAAGAAGGCCATAGCGAAGACGTCTATATTCTAGATGTCTACTCGACTACTCGGCAACCAGGGTTGGGCCCAGCCACGAGGTTTAAACATCGAGGACACAGGGTATGAAATCGGAAGGAGATACTTCAAGTTATTTCAGTGACTGGAAGAGCTACCAGCTGTGCCCCTGACTCTCTGGGAGCTGCCCAGGGAGGGACAGGAAAAGCAGAGCTCTGCCCTGTAATTTTCGGAACAGAGATCCCGAATGGTGCGCAGACGTGGCCATGGGCCGCCTACACCTTCCCAAGCACAAGCAGAAGCTCAGGGGGGGGTGTTGGGATCCCCCGTGCCTTGAACTTACTGCCCCAGCTCACGTCATCCGTCGGTGCAGAATCTACACCAGAAACCAATGGATCTGGTTTTATAGTGCCATCGTTGTGTTCCTATCTTGTCTAACTCAGGCTCCTGTCAATCAACGATGAATCAGAATGCGCTCTGAAGGCAATAAAGTACTTTTCTGTCTCCTGGGGATTCTTACTTCACTCTGCCGACATCCTGGCTCGGTTTCACCACCCAGAAGGAGCTGATAACATTGCCTAATTTGTACTTCCTAACCGGTCTTTTGTTAGCCTGGTTATTCAGGAAAAATCAACATAAAACCTGTCAGAAGAGGGAGTCACACCACTAAGCGTGCTGAATTTCAGGATATACGTCTGAGTCAGAGTTTCTCAAGGGTAAAGGACACGAGAGTCCTTCAGGATCCCTTGATCTGAAGTCGATAGTGTACTGAAAAGATGTCATTTCTTGACGTTAGACTTCTATATTCCCTTTGTCATTTGGGGATTGCGCCTGGGAATCTCCTCAGAGAGGGATACCCACGCAGGAAAGGCAGCTCGCTGTACTCCCTGTCAAGACTGTGATGAGTCTCGAGAGCCCAAATAGATAGCTGAATAGTTCAAAAGCTCCTCAGGAGAGGATCTGGGGGCCGAGAAAGTTGATCACGAGTCGGCAATGCGCCCTTGCAGCAGAGAGAAGCCCAACGGCATCCTGGGCTGCGTTGGTAGGAGCGTAGCCAGCAGGTCGAGGGATGTGATCCCTCCCCTCGGTTTGGCACTTCCGAGACCACATCTGGAGTAGCGTGCCCAGGTTTGGGCTCCACGCTGCAAGAAGGGTATTGATACTGGAGCGAGTCCGACGGAGGCCACTGAGCAGAGCAGCGTGCTCCAGCGAGCACAGGGTGCCTGAGACTGCTTGGAGAGGGCAAAGGCAAGACCTTATCTCTGCCTACACCTACCTGAGCGGAGGGTACGGGGAAAACGGAGCCAGAACCTTCTCGAAGGTGCATGCTGACAGCAGGAGAGTCAACGGCCCTCCATTGAGACATGGGACATCCTGATTAGATAGCAGGGAAACAAATTTTGCCAGGTGGATTATGAAATATGACATTTCGCCTGGAACAGGCTAACTACTGCGACAGGTCAAATGCTGGAAGAGGTTAAATAGTGGGACTGGTTGTGGACCGGGGCAGGCTGACTCCCGGGGGGAAGGCTGCTCCGAGCGGCTGCGGCATCCCTGTCCTTGGAGGTGTCCAGGACCTGGCTGGACACAGCGATAGACTTGAGTAGACCTTTTGTCTCGCGTGGGCTGCACAGGAAGACCTTCGGCTGCCCCATTTCAACCTAAATTATTATTTTGTGAT